GAGAGAGAGTGTGAGAGAGGAGAGAGAGAGAAAGAGAGAGAGAGAGAATTTTTAATATTTATTTTTTAGTTCTCGGCGGACACAACATCTTTGTTGGTATGTGGTGCTGAGGATTGAACCCAGGCCGCACGCATGCCAGGCGAGAGCGCTACCGCTTGAGCCACATCCCCAGCCCTTGTTGGGAGTATTATGAGAATTATACTTGATCTTAGCCAAAGACCAGGAAGTGATTAAATGAGAAGTAAATGAGTTAGTTTATGTAAAGAACTTAATAAGTACATAGCCCATACTAAGAATCACAAAATGTTAGTTGCCATCTGAATCAATTTATATATTTATGTCTTAAGTTTTATTACTCTTTGGTAGATGAAATGTAGTTGTCCTTATGTGGCTTATGATTTTTTTTTTTGAGAAGAAATGGGTTCAGCTCTCTTAACAAAAATATACAACTACCTGTGTTTTACAATGGCTTCACAGTAGCCATCACCTTAAGGAGGTGGTGGTTTAAAGCTTTGCCACTGTGAACTCAAGCCAAATTTCTGAAACCTCATTAAAAAGTGGGGGCTGGGGATATAGCTCAGTTGGTAGAGTGCTAGCCTCACATGCACAGGGCCCTGGTTTCAATCCCCAGCACCACACACACATACACACACAAAGTAGTTGCCTGATATGGTTGTGCACTGGAGCCTTAGGCAGGAGAATCACAAGTTTAACAGCAGTTTGGGCAATTTTGTGGTACCCTGTCTCCAAATAAAAAGGGCTGGGGGCATTGTTGCTGTAGCTAGCTTAGTGGTAGAGCACTTGCCTAGCTTGGGTGAGGCACTGGGTTCAATCCTCAGTACCACATAAAAAATAAATAAATAAAGTTATAAAAAAATATTTTAAGGGACTGGGGTTGTGGCTCAGTGGTAGAGCACTTGCCTTGCACACATGAGGCCCTGGGTTCGATCCTCAGCACCACATATAAATCATATAAATAAACAAATAAAATAAAGGCATTCTGTCCATCTACAACTGAAAAATAATTTAAATATTAAAAAAGGGGGGGCTGGGGATATTATTTGGTGGTAGAGTGCCCCAGTACCAACTGGGTTCAATACCTAGTACGATAGATAGATAGATAGATAGATAGATAGATAGATAGATAGATAGATAGATAGAAGCAAGCAAGCTAGAGATACAACTCAGTGGAAAGCAATTCTTGATTCAATTTCCAGTGGTGGACAGACACATCATGTAAGGCTACTGTAAGCTCCTTCTAGTCCCTGCTGTTTTACTTTCTTCTATTTTACTTTTATTTATTTTGTCAGGGAGAGGAGGTGCTGCTTGGATTTCACTCTGTTCACTTTATGAGCAGTGTTGTACATTGGTTAAGACCTTGGGCCCTGAATCAGCATGGTGATGTAGACCTGTAATGCTGAGGCAAAAGAATCAGTTGAGCACAGAAGTTGAGGAGCAGCCTGGTCAACTCTGTCTTTAAAAAAAAAAAAAAAAAAGTGACCTTGGGCTCCGTAACGGTTAATAATATCTCACATTATAATTCATATTTGTAACTTCTTTCTATAACCACTAGAAACCTGGCTTCCATTATCTAGAATATATTTATTTATTTGTATAACTCTTACATGTTTTGTATACATACTAGGTAATTTTTTAATTGCTAAACCATATGAGAAAAAAAGCTTATTAACTAAATTAGCACAGTGTTCATGTCTAACTCTAGCTTTGTCTTTGGCCTTTCAGTATCCAATCAAAATATTGTTTTCTAAAGCTTAGATTAGTTCCTTTTATTCTCTCCATTCACTTCACTATGGTTATACTATTTATTAATAATAATAATACAGTTCTGTTCTTTTTGTTACTTTGTATTCCATTTTGGGTTACCTCCACATTTTGGTTGGTGAATTTGTTTTGTTTTTCCCAAATTTATGTACAATGAAGTTCAGTCTTTGTTAGTATGTAGTTCTGTGGGACTTCACAAATACACAATCATGATAAAGAACAGTTTTGTTCACCCACCAAATTCCCTGTGCTGCTTCTTAGTCAACCTCTCTTCCAGATCCTCCCCCAGGAAGTGACTGATATATTTCTTTTTTTTTTTTTTTTTTTTTTTTTATTTATTAGTTATTGGCGGACACAACATCTTTGTTTGTATGTGGTGCTGAGGATCGAACCTGGGCCGCACGCATGCCAGGCGAGCGCACTACCGCTTGAGCCACATCCCCAGCCCCGACTGATATATTTCTAAGCTTTTTGCATGGACAAGAACTGGAAGAGTAGTACCTCAGTAACAGTGAGCACACTGGCCTCTCATATATTAATTTCTAAATATCATTCTGTAGCTGCACGCAGTAATGCACACTGCAGTCCCAGCTATTCAGGAGGCTGAGGCAGGAGGATCACAAGTTCAAGTCTAACCTGGGCAACACAGAACCATCTCAAAATACAAAATAAAAAAGGGGATATAGGTCAGTGCATTTAACCCCGAGTACTGCAAAAATAAATAAATAGTTCTCTAATGGGAAGAACCAGGGCTTCCTAGGGAATGGATGATTCCAGGATTCCAGTACTGAGAAAAGAAAAAAACAAAAACAGGAAAAGTCCGAGGCATCTTGTGGTGCCACAAATAAGGAAATGCCACAAGAATGATAGGGTCATTTTTAAAGAAGCATACTAATTAAATTTAAAGAAAATGCAATAGAAAAAAATAGTAGTTTAAAGTTTAAGACTTTATTGCTTTTAGTCACCTTTGTTATCAATTGGGGAATGTCCTTGGGCTGAGGAATAGCCACTGCTCTTTCAGAGACTCATATGGAAGGTACCCAATTGGGTTGTCAGGTGCCTAGCTACTGTCACCAGACCAGTAAGAACCAGGGTCCAAGAGGATGTTACTTGACACCAGATTTCTCTGTTAATGACCATGTTTAATAGCATTAATTCCTTTAAAATAAGTATTATAAGGGCTGGGGATGTGGCTCAAGTGGTAGCGCGCTCGCCTGGCATGCGTGCGGCCCGGGTTCGATCCTCAGCACCACAYACAAACAAAGATGTTGTGTCCGCCAATAACTAAAAAATAAATACTAAAAATCCCCTCTCTCTCTCTCTCTCTCTCTCTCTCTCTCTCTCTCTCAAAAAATAAAAATAAAATAAAATAAGTATTATAAAATCTGAAAAAATTCTTAGACGTAAGATGGTTTTGGTTAAATCCCACAAAAATTATAACACAGCTTCGGGGGAGACGGGGGGGGGGGGGATACTAGGAATTGAACTGATGAGTGTTATACCAAACTACACTCTTAGCCTTTTTTATTTTACTTTGAGACAGAGTCTTGCTAAGTTGCCAAGGCTGGCCTCATACTTGTCATCCTCCTACCTCAGTCTCCTGAGTTACTGGGATTACACCACACCCAGCCACAACTCTACCTCCTGATTCTGACTTGTTTTTTAAGTCATTTCTTTAGTGTATCTGCCTATGTAATGTGATAACAGTGCTTTCCATCTTATTGATCAAGAGTGTTGGCTCATACATCAGCACTGAAGATTAAAGTGCTACTTCTTCACATTCGGGGTGAGGAGAAGAAAAAGGGGGAAAGTGAAGAAAAAAGCAAGAACATGTGTGTGTTACAGAGAGGATTTTTTCCTTATTCTGAATGCTTAGAATCAGCAGAGAATAGGTTTTGTTGCAGTATTTATTACAGCCGGAATGAGTCATTCTGGATATTTAAAAAAAAAAATCAAATGAGAAATGATGCATTATATAGTAACAAAGGCTTTTTCATGACTCACCTCCCTGTGGTGGTTTTTATAATTTACCCTCTCTCTAAGGCTTGTCCTTCTTGTCTGATCCTCCTTTCCCCTTTAGGAAAAAAATTATTTAGGAAGATAAATTCAGTTCGGCTAAATATAGCACTGACATTTACATGGAATACTAATTTATACATAGACATAACTTTTATTTTATTTTATTTTTTTGGTTCTGGGGAATCAAACCCAGGAACACTTAACCACTTAGCCACATCCCCAGTTCTTTTTTAAATTTTTTATTTTGAGATAGGGTCTCCCTAAGTTGCTTAGGGCCTTGCCAAGTGACTGAGGCTGGCCTTGAATTTATAATCCTCCTGCCGCAGCCTCCCAGGTCACTGGGATTACAGGCATGGGCCACTGCACCCAGTTAAAAGATGTAACTTTTAATTGTTGTTTGACTACACAATTTTTTTTGTGTAGCCACATAATTACCTAAATCTTTCTAACTTTTAAGATTATCAACACAGTATAATGTGACTTCTGATAACATAAAAGTAAAATTTTTATATTTTCCATATATTGTCTGGGGCAACTTGAAAAATAGATGAGTAGTTACCAGGTTTAGTGGCACATACCTGTAATTCCATATGTTCATGAGGCAGGCAGATCATAAATCAGAGGCTAACCTGGGCAATGTAGGGTACAGCTGCCTCAAAATTTAAAAAATACTAAAAAGGACTAGGGTTGTAGTTCAGTGATGGAGTACTCCTGGGTTTAATCTCTATTACTACAAAGCAAAAATAAGGGAAAAGAGTAAGAAAAAATAGTTAAGTGGATTAAAGTTGTGGCTCATTTTTAAACTATAGAACAATTATTTTGAATAAGAACTTAACTGTTCATATTGTTTTATTACTTTTCTTTAGCATCGGGAATCATCAAGTGCCTGTTTATAGGTAGTTCGGAGGATGAAACAGGGACATAATAAGTCTGAAAGAATAGATGACTGTTAAATGCTTTATCTTAAGATGTTGTTGCTTGTGTGTTTATTATAATGACAGTTCTGATGTGGGGCTAAATTCATGATTCAGATGGAACTTTTTAAGGTTTAATGGGCCTTCAAATTGTGTATTACCCATTGCTTCCTCTAAGGATGAAACAGCTTTTTGGTGCCCAGAACTGTTAATTCTTTTTTAGTTCTTTTTTAGCTCAAGGTTTTCCTTAGGATCTGTCTTTACTGTTACTACTGTTTTTTTTAGGCATATTCAAAACATGAGTGAGATCAAAACTGATGTTGGACGAGCTCGGGCATGGATAAGATTATCTCTAGAGAAGAAGCTTTTGTCCCAGCATCTCAAGCAGTTGCTCTCTAACCAACCACTTACCAAGTAAGATATTGCCTTTTGAGACCTTTCTGTTTTGTATGCTGGCAAAGCTGACAAACTGGCATCTTTAGCATGAATTGCTGATTTGTTTGCACATGAATTCTTATTGTGTAACAGGAGTATACTTCAGAATAAGAAACTATCTTAACATAATATTTGATCATTGCTGGGAGGACTCATCATATTTTATAGCCAAGGGCCAGATTGCTATGTTTTAATCAGAAAAAAAATAATAATTCATCTGTACAGTTTGACAGCAACTTCGAAACCTAGAGTAGCATAAAAAGGATGGGAGAAGGGTTCACAGTAAAGGGTTTATGACAGTCTTGCCAACATTATGCTCAATAATCTAAAGCCAGGAAACCATTTAATAGCCTGACAATTAATTGTTAATTGGTTTGGTAGTTTCCTTTATTAAGAAATCCTGAATACATGTCTGAATGTGTACATTAGAGCTTTTTTGAAGGCTAAGGACTTTTGAGTTTTTAAGAGCATATATATGTAAAGAATCTAACCAAGACCTAAATATGACAGTTTATTGTAATCCCATCATAGTAACCCAGTGCTTTTTGTAGTTCTACTTTTATATGTATCACCCTTGGATTAATTACCCCATGAGCATTTTAGGATGAGTCTTAATGTCCAGAGAGTCGTTTTGATAATAAAATGTAATTTATCAACTGTGAACCAGACCTTGTCTTTTAACATTTTTCCCCCAATCATTAAAGTCATTTATGCCCATTGTGGCTAAAGTACAAAGAGCCAGGCATAGTGGCACACAACTTTAACCCCAGCAACTCGGGAGGCTGAGGCAGGAAGATCACAAGTTCCAGCAATTTAGCAAGACCCTTTCTCAAAATAAAAAAGACTGGAGATGCAGTTCAGTGATAAAGTGCCCCTGAGTTCAATCACCATTGCCAAAAAAAAAAAAAAAAAAAGTACAAAGAAGAAGAACATGATAGTTTATAATCCTACTGCATAAAGAACAATATTAAGTATTTCTGTACTTTCATCTATACTGTCATCTATTCATACCTTCTTAGTTAAAATTATACTGTATTTGCAATTCAGTGCCATCCTTTTTTAGCCTAACATGGTTTTACAATATATAAAAGTTTAAACTCTGAAGTCTGAATACTGCCTTTACTCCTTACTTTTTGAATGGCTTTGGACAAGATAATTAACTTCTCTATGCCTCTGTTCTTCCATTTATAAAAAATGAGGTTGCTAATAGACTTATCTCATAGGATTGTCATAAGAATTAAATATATGAGGCTGGGGTTGTAGTTCAGTGGTTAAGTGCTTGCCTCGCATGTGTGAGGTACTAGGTTCGATCCTCAGCATCACATGAAAAAATAAATAATTAAATAAAACAAAGATTTTTTTAAAAAAAGAATTAAATATATTAAGCCAGGCTTGGTGGCTCACACCTATAATCCCAGCAGCTCAGGTGGCTGAGGCAGGAAGACTGCGAGTTCAAAGCCAGCCTCAGCAAAAGCAAGGCACTAAGCAACTCAGTGAGACCCTGTCTCTAAATAAAATACAAAAAACAGCTGGGGATGTGGCTTAGTGGTTGAGTACCCCTGAATTCAATCCCTAGTTACCCCATCCCCAAAAAATTAAAAGAGTAATATTTTTAGTAGTAGCGACTATGCCATTGTTAAAACCCTTCATAAGCTTTTATCTTAAATGGCCAAAACAGTATTCCAGCATGTGAATATATTGTGAAACATTTTTGTTTTTATTTATTTTTTTTTTGTCACTGCTGGGAATTGAACCCAGGATCTTACTTCACCCCAGCTACAACCCCAGCCTAAATGGTTTTTACTTCACAAATAACATTTTAGTGGACATTTGTAAGTAAATCTTTTTAAAATTTTTTTTCTTTGGGTACTAGAGATTAAACCCAAGGGCACCTTATCCACTGAGCCACATCCCTCAGCCCTTATTTTAATATTTTATTTAGAGGCAGGGTCTTGCTGAATTGTTTAGGGCCTCACTAAGTTGTTGAAGCTGGCTTTGAACTTTCAATCCCCTGCCTCAGCCTCCCAAACCACTGGCAATATAGGCATGCGCCACCATGCCCAGCTGTAAGTAAACCTTCGCCCACATTTCATATTGTATAATTAGGACTGATCCCTAAAAGTAAAATTTATGAGTTAACAGTTATGACTAGTTGACAGGAACTTACCAATAAATTGCTTTCCTGAAATTTGCAATCCCACCAACTATAAGGATAACATTGGCTCCTCCTTGGTGCCAGTTATAATTTTTAAATCTTTATTGTTTCATTTTTTGTTTTATTTTGTTTACAGTACTGGGGATTGAACCCAGGTTGCTTTACACTGAGCTGCATCCCTAGCCCTTTACATTTTTTTGAGACAAGGTCTCACTAAGTTGGACAGGCTGGCCTTGAATTTGTAATCCTTCTACCTCAGCCTCCCAAGTCACTGGGATTACAGGTATGCACCACCATGTCCAACTTCTATTAGTTTAATAGAAAAACTTAATTCATGGCAAAGGCAGGCAGGATGTCACATACCGGTTATCCCAGCAACATGGTAGACTGGGGTAACAGGAAGGCAACTTAAAAAGGGAGGGCTGGGGATATAGTTCCATTGGTAGAGTGCTTGCCTCACATGCACAAGGCCCTATGTTCAATCCCCAGCACCACAAAAAAAAAATAAAAATAAAAATAAAAAAATAAAAGGGCTGGGATTGTGGCTCAGTGGTAGAGTCCTTACCTCATACATATGAGGTGCTAGGTTCAATCTTCAGCCTCACATAAAAATAAAGAAAGTTATTTTAATTTTTTTTAAGGTGGGGAGCTGTGGATGTAGCTCAGTGGTAAAACACCCCTGGGTTCAGTCCCCAATCAAAAAAAAAATTTTTTTTCAGGTATTTTCCCCCTTTACTAGTTAAAAACCTTTTATTAACTGTTAATATGTCAATTTTTTGTGAATTCTGTTTTTTCAACATTGTTTTCTTCCCTTTGTTTAGTGAAGTGTTTATTTTTAAATATAATGAAAAGTATAAAAAATACACTGTTGTTTTGTGCTTGTCTTATTTGTTTTTAGGAAGCTTTATAAGCGCTATGCTTTTCTACGTTGTGAAGAAGAAAGAGAGCAGTTTCTTTACCATCTTCTTTCCCTCAATGCTGTGGACTATTTCTGTTTCACCAGTGTGTTCACCACTATCAGTAAGTCTGGAGAACTGACTGTTAAGTAAAGACTCTGTTAGGTAACTAATGGAATAAAAGTGTTCATATCTATAGTAATGAGATATAATATAGTACAATGAGGTATACTATGATGGCCCCCCATATCTCCATTTAGGAATGCAGGATATACCTTAGCTGCGGGGGGATAGTCCTCAGTTGCCAACTAGCCTACGGTAGTACCTTGCTAAAGAAAACTACCTTCCTGTGCACGTACCCTCCAACCAGGGCCAGCCGGCATCCCACGATTGATCAGAGAGCTATCTCAGAGCTCACAGTGGATGTCAGCTGAGGACATCATTAAGACTGCATCACAGGGCTGGGGTTGTGGCTCAGTGGTAGAGTGCTTGCCTTGAATGTGTGAGGCATTGAGTTCGATTCTCAGCACCACATATAAATAAAACATAAAGGTCCATCAACTAAAATAAATAAAATAAAATTTTCAAAAAGGCTGCATCAGGGCTGGGGATGTGGCTCAAGCGGTAGCGCACTCGCCTGGCATGCGTGTGGCCCGGGTTCGATCCTCAGCACCACATACAAACAAAGATGTTGTGTCCACTGAAAACTAAAAAATAAATATTAAATATCTTTCTCTCTCTTTTTCTCTCTCTCTCTAAAAAAATTTGGCTTGATTCTTGTCTCCCTTTAAAAAAAAAAAAAAAAGTCTGCATTACAGGGCTGGGGCTATACCTCAGTGGCAGAGCACTTGCCTAGCATGTGTGAGGCCCTGGGTTCCATCCTTAGCAGCACATAAAAATAAATAAAATAAAGGCATTCTATCTACAACTACAAAAGAAAAAATTAAAAAAGAAGACTGCATCACAACTTAATATCTCCCTCAACCAGTCTTGTTTTCCTCCTCATATGTGGATCCCAGGAGCAACATCATGTGTACTAATTTCTGACTTATTCATCTTTCCAAAACACCCAATCTGATAATTGTTACCTTACCTACAATGGGTGTAAAAAGGAATGTTTTGTTAAATAAATATTCCAATATTTATCCAAAATACATAAATTCAAAGAATAAGTGTATAATAATAATACGCTTATGTAACAACATTATTTAATTTTGTTGATCAAGAAACACCTCAGAATCTTGCTAGATATTGTTGGTCTAGATTGGGAGGAAATACTGATTGTCATTTTTCCCCCTAGTAATAGGAATTGAACCCAGGGCTTCACATGCTCCATGACTGAGCTACATCCCTATCCCTTTTTATTTTATTTTGAAATAGGGTCTCAAATAAGTGGCCCAGGCTGGCCTTGAACTTGTGTTTCTCCTGCCTCCGCATCCTAAGCAATTGAGATTAGAAATATACAGCACACCACATTCAGCCTCAACGTTTTGTTTTCTTTTTTTTTTTTAAAGAACTTCTTTTTAAAATTTTTTTTTAAGAGAGAGAATTTTAATGTTTATTGTTTTTTTAGTTTCCGGCAGATACAACATCTTTGTTGGTATGTGGTGCTGAAGATCGAACCCGAGCCCCCGCACGCATGCCAGGCGAGCGCGCTACCGCTTGAGCCACATCCCCAGCCCTTGTTTTCTTTTTTTGTACCAGGAATTGAACCCAGAGGTTCTTAACTACTGAGTCACATTCCCAGCCCCCCACCCTTTTTTTAAATATTTTGTTTTAGTTGTAGTTGGACACACACCTTTATTTTATAATTTGTTTAGAGACAAAGTCTTACCTGAGTTGCTTAGAGCCTCACTAAATTCCTGAGGCTTGCTTTGAACTCATAATCCTGACTCAGCCTCCCAAACTGCTGGGATTACAGGCATGAACCACCACACCAGCCTCAGTGTATTTTTGATAACTGAACCACAGCATTTATTCTATCCACCATTATTAATTCTTATTTTCAGTGTGTTCCTCTCCCTATTTTGGAGAATTTTTGCTTGTATCAGTTAAGAATTGTGTTCAGCTGCAAATACCAGAAACTTTGAAAAGAAGTTATTTAAACAACAGTAATTTATTTTTCTTATGTAAGAAGTAGTCTGGTAGTAGGCAATCTGCAGTACTGTCACAGACCGAGACCTATGTCTATTTCCTCCTAGACATTATCAGAGTGTGCTACTCACCTCATGGTCAGAATATGGCTTCTCTGTCCACATACCTGTAGGAAGGAAGGAGAGAATACCAAAGAGAAACGGGACAGGATCTGTGTTATTATTAATTTATTATGTTACTTCAATTATACGATTCTGAAATGTTATATACAGTTTTAAAAGACATAAATGTCATTTAAGATTCTTAAGGGCTTCCTTATATGTGGACTTTTTCTTCATCTGAATAATTCTTTGAATTTGAGCAATTGAGATACTTTATGAAAGAAGTAGTCTTAGTTAATAATATTGCTCTTTTATACTTAACAGTGTGAATCACCACTGTTTTGCATCTGTGGGCCCTTTGCAGTGCAGAACTACTGACCCTAAACGGGCCTTTTTTTTTTTTTTTTTTTTTTTTTTTTTGCAACTTTTCTAATCCTATCACTGCAAGAAATTAGAGAGACTTCTGGCACCTAAAATAAAGTCTTACACTAACCTCTTCTGCTTTCAGTTTCAAAACCGATTTGATTCTGATGATTACTAAACCATGAAAGTATGGCCTATCCTCTGACATTTTCCTTTTCTCCAACCAAAATAAAAGGACAGAAAGGGCAATTATTCACAAACATAAAGAAAGTCATTTATGTAGAATTAAGGAAATTAACCATTCATCCCATTCATTTTCCTTATCTAAGCGTTTGCTGAACTGTGAGCTTATTGTGATGCTGTGTCTGGACACTTTTCCCACTAAATGTTTTTCATCCTATATGTAGATCTTTCAAGGACAGCTTCTGACCACCCCACTTATAACCAAATGAGTAGAAATTCCAAGGATACCAACAACAAAAAAATATTGATTCTACTCTATTTGAAATAAATTATATATATATATATAATCATTTTTATATATGTACATAAATGTATATACATTTATGTACATACACACACACACACACACACACACACATATATAATATGTGTTACCCATCCCCATTATTTAAAAGAAGGGAGGACACCTCTAATATCTAACTTGTGCCTTCCACCTTTGGGGCAAGGCCCATGATAGGAAGGTGACATCTAGTGGTGGGCTTTTGGGTGTACTGTTAGAGGGAAAAGCTTCACATAGATCTCGTTCCACATCTTGACCTTTCCCCAAGGTTCTCTTGCATAGGAGTCACCTTTAACAGCTTCCCAAGTTGTGAATTATAGACTTTACACAGTGYCCAGAGTGGAGGCTCCATTGTTTTTTATTATCAGTTTTGTGTGTTGTACAGTAAACTTGGAAGGGGAAAGTTCTGAAGTGCAGTGTTTTAAGCATTCTCCAAGAAAATCAGCAAAAAATGGAATACTAATCTGTAAGTCATCTACTCCTCCTTTCATATGAAAACATACTAGAAAATAAGTTCATTGGTACTCAATTTTATTACAGAATTCATTTTTAAATACATTAAGCAATGAAAACACTATATAGCATAGTGTTCAGGTCCTCAGGTATTCTCTTTTTAATACTTGATATTGTTTATAAATTTAATGATGGTGTATATTATCATGGTGACATATAAGCCACTCGTACATGGCAATGTATGTATCATAGAAACCACCAGCAAAAGTATAGGGTCTTCATAACCTGAATCTTTTCATTCTAGACTAGAAGTTGTGATCTCATCTTTTTGTGTAGGTACATATTAAAAGATCATAAAAGCAAAGTATCTATGAAAATTAGCAGTTCTTATATATTTGTTTTGTTAAAAGAGCTTCTTTATTGTAATTCTTTATTAATTTTCCCTTTTTTATTTTAGTGATTCCATACAGGTCAGTGATCATCCCAATCAAAAAGCTGAGCAATGCAATCATCACATCAAACCCCTGGATCTGTGTATCAGGAGAGCTGGGAGACACAGGAATAATGCAGATTCCCAAAAACCTCCTTGAGATGACTTTTGAGGTAGGGTCCAAGATACCTTTCTTAGCAAAAAAAAAAAGTGTCATATTTAGTTCTACAGAAGGATTCTAGTTTGCTTTTTATCAGTTTTCTATGAGTCTATAAAATAAAGGAATGTGTGAGCATACTGGATCATTTTTGTGATCATATGCTTATTGTTGTCTAAAGTATCTTACACTAATCTGTTCTGTATTTTCATTATTGTTATTTTCATTGTTAAGCTCTATTTTTCTGCTATTTTATGATTCTTAGTACCTAACACAGAATGTGGCAAGCAGAGAACATTGGAATAAATGATCTCCTCCCTGCCACAACTTAACCATGTTTTGGCAAAAGGACCAGAGAGCTGACATCCATGCTTATGGATTTTAAACCACATAATGTCATTTATAGATCGATTTTTATCAAAATGCCTTGTTGCATAATAGTTTTCAGATCTCACCTAGTGAAGTATTTCCCAACATGGAAGTTGAACTTACCATGTAGGAAGAAGATAGATAACTGTTCATATTTGAAGAGAGAAGTGGTACTGTGGGGAAAAGGGTACACTTGCACATTGCTGGTGGGACTGCAAATTGGTGCGGCCAATTTGGAAAGCAGTATGGAGATTCCTGGGAAAGCTGGGAATTGACCCAGCTATTGCCCTTCTCGGACTATTCCCTGAAGACCTTAAAAGAGCATACTATAGGGATACTGCTACATCGTTGTTCATAGCAGCACAATTCACAATAGCTAGACTGTGGAACCAACCTAGATGCCCTTCAATAGATGAATGGATTAAAAAAATGTGGCATTTATACACAATGGAGTACTACGCAGCACTAAAAAATGACAAAATCATGGAATTTGCAGAGAAATGGATGGCACTAGAGCAGATTATGCTAAGTGAAGCTAGCCAATCCCTAAAAAACAAATGCCAAATGTCTTCTTTGATATAAGGAGAGCAACTAAGAACAGAGCAGAGAGGAAGAGCATGAGAAAAAGATTAACATTAAACAGGGACGAGAGGTGGGAGGGAAAGGGAGAGAGAAGGGAAATTGCATGGAAATGGAAGGAGACCCTCATTGTTATACAAAATTACATATAAGAGGATGTTAGGGGAAAGGAAAAAATAAACAAAACAAAACCAGGGAGAGAAATGAATTACAGTAGGTGGGGTAGAGAGAGAAGATGGGAGGGGAAGGGAGGGGAGGGGGGATAGTAGAGGATAGGAAAGGTAGCAGAATATAACAGTCACTAGTATGGCAATATGTAAAAATGTGGATGTGTAACCGATGTGATWCTGCAATCTGTATATGGGGTAAAAATGGGAGTTCATAACCCACTTGAATCAAATATATGAAATATGATATGTCAAGAGCTTTGTAATGTTTTGAACAACCAATAATAAAAAAAAAAAAAAGAGAGAGAGAGAGAGAAGTGGTACTACCTGCAAGCCCTGTTCTCGTGTCCTTTGGGGTCTAGGAATAGCAGTATCCACTCAGAATCGCAGTACTCACCCAAGATCTCATTTTGGCCTTATATATGTAGTGGACTCACAGTCATTTGTATATAAAAGGTTAAAACCCTTGGCTTTTCTTCATCTACCAATTATGGGACATAAGCTCCATTGTAAGTCCTATCTTGCTGTTTCCAAACACTCTCACCGTATCAATCCACTCTTTTCCATCTCTGCTGCATGAGTAATTCAAGGTACCATCCTCCCTCAGCTGACTCACTGTGACCCCTTCTCACTGAGATACAAAGAAATCAAATGCTTTTAAAACTCATAATTCTGATGTTTCTATCTGACACATGTAGGGTCTATGATGCTTTTCTTATCAGATATTTAAAGTCTGGATTTATGCCAGGTGCAGTGGCATAATCCCAATAACTCAGGAGGTTAAGACAGAAGGATCACAATTGGGGGGCCAGACTTAGCAACTTAGTGAGACCTGTCTCAAAATAAAAAATTTTAAAGAAGGCTGAGGATGTAGCCCAGTGATAAAGTGCTTCTGGGTTCAATCCCCAGTAGTGCTAAAAAATAAAAATTAAAAAGTCAGAACTTAATTAGCTTTTATGTTTACAAWTGCTATTGTCATTGCTTTATTTTATACTTGTCACAAAGGGTCAGTAGGATGTTGATAACTGCAGTAGTTCCCCTCCACTTTTTTTATAGTTTCACTTTCTATTGTTTCAATTACCTGCAGTCAATCAGTCCAAAAATATTAAACAGAAAATCCCAGAGATAAATAATTCATAAGCTAATTTTGTTTGCTTGGGTATTTTTTAGTTAGGTTTTTTGTTTTTGCTGTGCTAGGTTTCAAACCAAGGGCATTGCATATGCTAGGCTAGTGTTCTACCACTGAACTACACCCTAACCTATTAATAAGTTGAAAATTGTACACCATTCTGAGTAGCACGATGGAATCTTATGCTGTCCTGCTTAGGATGTAAATCATTCCATTGTCCAGTATATCCATGCCACCCACATATTACAAGTTATCAGATCAGCTATTGAGGTATTACAGTTGCTTACATTCATGTAACCCTTACTTAATAATAGCCCCCACCACTCTCATACTAGTGATATAAGAATAGTGGTACAAAGAAGACACCAGGGCAGGAATGTTGAAGGACAGATTAACTCTGGTACTATGTGGCAACTTTGCAGAGCATATAGGCAAAAACTTAGTAGAGATATAAGGTTTGGTACTATGGCAGTTTCAGATGCCCATTGAGAGTTTTAGAACATATCTCTTGAGAATAAGGGAGGACTGCTATCTGCCTTATTATTATTTTTTTTAATAAATAGCTTGAAAAAATTCTGGTAGATGAGGTTTGGGGTCAGTTCTGCCTTGGATTTTTATGTTTTGTTTGTGGTATTGGAAGTCAAAACCAAGGCCTTGCTCATGCTAGGTTAGTACACTACCAGTAACCTGTATCCTCAGCTTCTGATTAAAAATAGGAAAATTGCTGGGCATGGTGGCTCACACCTGTAATCCCAGCAGTTCGGAGGCTGAGGCAGGAAGATCACAAGTTCAAGGCCAGCCTCAGCAATTTAGTGAGGCTCTAAGCAACTTAGCAAGACCCTGTCTCAAAATAAAAAAGGCTGGGGATGTGACTCAGTGGGTAAGCACCCTTAGGTTCAATCCCATGTGCCAAAAAAAAAAGAGGAAAATAGCCAGGTATGGTATAACATACCTATAATCCCAGCGAGTTAAGAAGTGAAGGCAGAAGGATCAAAAATTCTGTCTCAAATAATCAAAAGGGCTGGGAATGTAACTCAATGGTAGAATACCCCTGGATTTTATCCATAGTGCTAAATAAATAAATATAAGACATATCGGTGGTCAAGGCGGCTCACTCCTATAATCCCAGCTTCTTGGGAAGCCAAAGCAGGAAGATTGTAAATTAAGGCCATATTAGGCAATAATGAGGCCCATCCCCCCCAAAGTAAAGAAAAATAACAGTGTCAGAGATTTTTAAAATCTAGTTGATTTGCTAAGCTCTCTGTAAGTCAATTTAAATAGCACCATTTTCCCATTTCTTAAAAATTTCTCATCCTTCAAATCACTGTCTCAATGATATTTCTGGATTGCACAAATGGAAGTAACCATTTCTTCCCCAGAGTTCTTTTAGTGCTTGTTTTTTCATTTTTAGTTTAGCACCTTGTACAGTCCACCTCATTTGATTGTCAGTGTCTATGTCTCCTATCTCATTGTACAAGGGCTCTGAGAGCAAGGAATACTTTATGGATATTCTTGTTTAGTGTGTAGCTTAGCACATTGAACAGGGTAAGTCTCTGCAATTTTTAGATAAAACCAAAGTGCCACTGTTAAAGGTGAGAGAGAATGAGATGGAGTCAAATCCTAAATAACCTATGGTTCTGTCCCTACAGTGCCAGAACTTGGGGAAGCTCACTACTGTTCAAATTGGTCACGATAACTCGGGACTATTAGCCAAATGGCTAGTGGATTGTGTCATGGTCAGAAATGAAATTACAGGACATACATATAGGTAAGTAAATGGCCTTAAAAACTCAAAATTCTTTGCTTTGAGACTTATTTACTTATTTATTTATGCAATGCTAGGGATTGAACCCTGGGCCTCATACATGCTAGACATGCACTTCACCATTGAGCTACATTCACAGCCAAAGCTCTTTAGATAGGGTTTGAAATTATTTTCTTTCTAAAGTTTTTCCCCTGCCTTCTGCATTATAATTCAATTTTTTGTTTTTTTATGTAATATAAAATTATTCTTTAATAGTCCACAAGTTTTGAAAAGATTGGCATAACTAAAAAAAAAAGAAGAAAGAAAAAAGGAATTTTTTAAATAATTTTGATAAGGGGGCTCGGGTTGTGGCTCAGTGGTATAGAGTGCTTGCCTTGCGCATGTGAACCACTGGGTTCAATCCTCAGCACCACATAAAAATAAATAAACAAAATGTCCATCTACAACTAAAAAAATTTTTTGAAAAAATAATAATTTTGATAAGAGACAATCATCTCTTAAATTCTACCAATTACAGAATCTTAAGAGTAAACATTCTCCTTTTTTTTCTCTTGTGATTTAACTCCCACATTCATTTTTAGTTTGAAAATATTCTTTCCACCTGGCATAATGGAGCATGCCTGTAATCCCAGCAACTCTAGAGGCTAAAGCAGGAGGATCCCAGGTTCTAGGCCAGCCTCAGCAACTTAGTGAGGCCTTAAATAACTTAGTGAGACCCTGTCTCAAAACAAAAAATAAAGCTGGGCCGGCCCGGTGATACATGCCTGTAATCCCAGTGGCTAGATTCCCTTCAGTTGATGAATGGATAAAGAAAATGTGGTATATAGACACAATGGAATATTATTCAGCATTAAAAGAGAATAAAATCAGCCAGGCGTGGTGGCTCACACCTGTAATCTCAGCAACTTGGGAGACTGAGACAGGAGGATCATGAATTCAAAGCCAGCCTCAGCAACTGTAAGGTGCTAAACAACTCAGTGAGACCTTGTATCTAATAAAATACAAAATTGGGCTGGGGTGTAGCTCAGTGGTTGAGTGCCCCTGAGTTCAATCCCTGGTACCCACCCCACAAAAAAAGAATAAAACTATGGTGTTTGCAGGTAAATTGATGGAGTTGGACAATATAATATTAAGTGAAGTTAGCCAATCCCAAAAAACCAAATGCCCGAATCTTTTCTCTGACATGAGGATGCTGATTCATAAGGGGGATGTGAGCAGAGCATGGAAGGAATAGATGAACTCTAGATAGGGCAGTGGGGAGGGAGAGGAAGAGAGGGTAGGAAAGGCAGTGGAATGAGATGGACATCATTACCCCAAGTACATGTATGAAGACACGAATGGTGTGTACAACTAGAGATATGAAAAATTGTGCTATATCTGTGTACTACGAATTGAAATGCATTCTGCTGTCATATATAACAAATTAAAATATATTTTTTTTAAATACTTAACAGTAAGGGGGGTGTGGCTCAGTGGTAATGTGCTTGCCTAACATGCCCAAAGCCCTGGATTCAGAGCCTGGGATTACAAAAAAATGAAAAATACAATACTTAACTAGAAAAATGAAGCAAATGGCAAAATATTACGTCTGTGATAAGAAATATGGATGCCTAATATACCATTTTCCACTTTACTATATTTTTGAAATTTTCATAAATAAAGGCAACCCACAGGCTTTTTTGTTTTTGTGATGCTGGGGATTAAACCCAGGGCCTTAACGCATTTTAGGCAAGTGTTCTACCAATTAGGTCCATCCCCAGTTCACCCCAGAGACATTAAAATGATGAGCTTAATCCATGGTACCATTCCTAAAACAGTTTTTAAAAATTAATGATTGAGAAGTTTTTTTCTCCCCTCTTAGATTCCCATGTGGGCGGTGGCTAGGGAAAGGCATTGATGATGGGAGCCTGGAGAGAATTCTTATTGGAGAATTGATGACATCAGCATCAGATGAGGACCTGGTAAAACAGTGTCGGACTCCACCCCAGCAGAAATCACCCACCACAGCTAGGAGACTGAGCATCACTTCCCTAACAGGAAAAACTGCCAGTAAGTAGTTTGATTTGTTTGTTTGTTTGGTACCAGGATTGAAACCAGGGGCTCCTAACTCCTTAGCCCCATCCCCAGCCCTTTTTTATATTTTATTTAGAGACAGGGTCTCACTAAGTTGCTTGGGGCCTCGCCAAATTGCTCACGAGCACTCAACCTTTTTTTTTCCTAGCGTGCTTTACATGTTGCAGGCTTCATGTGGTGATTTCACCAAAAAAAAAAAAAGGGGGGGGGGTGCTGGGGTTGTGGCTAAGTTGTAGAGAGCTTGCCTAGCATGCATGAGGCATTGAGTTCAATCCCCAGCACCACATAAAAAATGAACAAATAAAATAAAGGTATTGTGTCCACTTACAACTAAAAAAATATTTTTAAACAAAGATTGCATTAATGAATTATGACAAAGAGAGTAAGAAAGAGGCAACTTAATTTGGGAGAAGGGACTTTAAAAAGGAGAAGAGAAATTAGGGGTGTAGCTCAGTGGTAGAGCATGTACTTAGCGAGTACAAGACCCTGGATTTAATCCCCAACTCCAAAAAATAATTGACTTATTTAATTTAATTCAAAAATAGATTTCAGAGCTAGGAAAGTAGCACAATGGTAGAATGCTTGCCTAGCATTCATAAGGCCCTCGGTTTGATCCCCAACATTGCCCAGCACTGTACCCTATCCCCCATAAAATATATGTATAAAAACTAGATTTCACTTCCATCCAAATTTATTGCAGTTCTGAATTAGGCCACTTTCATAGTTTGACTGTTTTGTTTGGTTTTGTTGGTACTGGATATTGAACCCAGGGCTGCTCTACCACTGAGCTAGGTCTCCAGCCCTTTTTATTTTTCATTTTGAGATAGGGTCTTGCTAAGTTGCTTAGGCTACCCTGTAACTTGTGGTTTTTCTTCTACCTCACCCCAAATTCTGGGATTACAGGTGTAAACTACCACACCTACCATTATTTCTCAATTTCACTCATATTTTCTTTACTTGTTCAATAAGCCCAAATTTTTAAATAATTCAAGACTCAGAGATGGATGGATAGCAGGGTATTTTTTTCACAAGATATGCAAGGTGATATTCAGAGAACTTGAAAGTTTTGAGTCCATCAAAATACTACTGATTGCTGGGATTGTGGCTCAGCGGTAGAGTGCTGGCCTAGCACATGTGAGGCCCTGGGTTCAATCCTCAGCACCTCATAAAAATAAATAAAGATATTATGTCCAACTACAACTAAAAAATATTTTTAAAAAATACTACTGATTAGTGTAGGGCTGTTTTAGAATGAATAAGACAATATTTAAAAGAAAATATTCAGAGAAAGGTAAAAGTGGGGAGGGAAAAAAATTGCTGGTTAGAAAAACTACTAGTAGGGGCTGAGGATGTGGCTCAAGCAGTAGCGCACTCGCCTGGCATGCGTGCGGCCCGGGTTCGATCCTCCAGCACCACATACAAACAAAGATGTTGTGTCCGCCAATAACTAAAAAATAAATAAATATTTTTTAAAAAAAAAAAAAGAAAGAAAAACTACTAGTAGCTGGAGAGATCACAGTACCAGTCTTCAATCATAAGACATTGCCAGTTCAACATTTTTTTTTTTTTTTTTTTTTTTTAGTTTTGATGGACACAGTACCTTTATTTTACTTATTTATTTTTACATGGTGCTAAGGATTGAACCCAGTGCCTCATAGGTGTGAGGTAAGCACTCTGCCACTGAGCCACAATCCCAGCCCAGTTCAACAATTTTTATGCACTGGTAAAAACTTACCAGTTTAGGAAAAACTTACTTTAATTTTACCTAAAGGACTGGGCTGTTTTTATGTTTAAAAAAACAAAAAATCCTGGTGCCAGGGTTGTGACTCAGTGGTAGAGCACTTGCCTAGCATGTGTGAGACACTGGATTCATCCCTGGCACCACATAAAAATAAACAAATAAAATAAAGGTATTGTGTCCATCTACAATTAAAGAAATATTTTTTAAAAATCCTCCAGCAGTATGAACTAAGATTCTTAAACAATACAGTACACAGTGTTTTCCCTTATAGTGAAGTAAATAAATTAGATCTAATACTTAATCATTTTTCTCCTGTTACCTATTTCTGACGCTTGATGAAATCTGTTACACTTTACTTTTCTTTTAATCATTCTTAGTACAGTGGATAACGACAGTAAAAAGTCCATTTAGACAGCTCACCAACCACACAAGTTCTTTTCTCTTCCTCCTTCTTCCCTCCCTTCACCATCACCCCCTTCTCCCTCTCTCTCGGCCTAGATGAGCATCTGCTGGCTTGGAAAATGAAGTAGACACAAACTTACTAGCCAGGAAGGGGAAGAGTCCTGAGCTTCCATTTGGGGTGCCACAGGGAACCTAGGATTTCCACTTACTTTAACACAACTGGTAAACTTCACTCCAGGTTAGCCATTCCAAGCCTCAGAAGCCTTAGCCTGGGTCCATTCAGGGGCTTAGAAGTAAGTAGAATAAGGGAGCATATGAGGATTGATGATAGGGTCCATCCATCCACATCTTACTCCTCAGATCTGGAGACTTATTATTAGCACTGGGTAGCAGGCATCATGTTAGGTGGTTTACACCTAATATCTTGTTAGTTTTTCCAGTAAGGTGTATATATTTCTATTTTTTAGTTGAAAGAGTCAAACTCACAGAAAGTTAGACACGTGGCTTGGGTTATAAGTTGCAGGGTAAGGCTGAGGTTTGCTTTAGGGATCGATTTCTTGAGTTCTTTTTCATTGTGCCAAGATACCTCCCACTTGGGTAGACTGTTCAGAGGTAAGTTTCATGGAGTCCCTGGCAGAGTCAGCCTGGTCTTGTGAAGTGTTTCCTGCAGAGATGGACATGTTTGATATCACATGGTACTTGGGTTTATTTTTCCTGCATGAGTATGCAACCCCTCTTCATTATTTTACAGAACCCAATGCTGGACAGATCCAAGAAGGAATTGGAGAAGCTGTGAACAATATTGTGAAACATTTTCATAAACCTGAAAAAGAGGTATTATGGGCTTTAGAACCTTATATAGTGGGAGTTTTAAAGCCATTTTTATGTGTGATACATAAAGCAATATGTGGTACCTGAATTTTCGCTTGTAAGCTTTTTAATAGCTACAAAAACATGCTTCCTATAGCTACCCTCAGCATTTTCTTGTTTCTTTAGTGGTTTTCTAAGCATAGAGGCAACAGTTTTTCTTTTAACACTATGTGTTATGCTTCATAGAGAGGAAGCCTCACGGTTTTGCTTTGTGGAGAAAATGGCCTGGTTGCAGCACTTGAACAAGTCTTCCACCATGGGTTCAAATCCGCCCGAATCTTTCACAAGAATGTCTTCATCTGGGATTTCGTAGGTAAATTAAGCAGATATATGTTATTATAATGCAATTGAAATGTTTCTTAGAAAATTCAGAGATCCAAGAATTTGAATAAAGGTTAGTAATAAAGGAGTCTATTTTTAAAAATAAATATTAAATAAGCACTGTCTTTGTTTTTCATCATTCAACAAACATTTATAGTACATACAATATGCCAAACACTGCTCTAGATGCTCGAGAGATATATCAGTAAACACAACAGAAATTCCTAAAGTTGACAAATTTTTGTTTCTGATGGGGATGAGAGAACAGACAATATATAAAATCTTTAGGAAATACATAATTCATATGGTATATAGAAGTTGATTTTTCATTTGGGAAAAATTGAGCTGGGTCAAAGAAAGTGACTTTTGGGCTCGGACCTCAAGAAGGTGACAAACTGAGCCACATGAATATCTGGTGGAAATAACTGCCAGTACAGAGGCCCCTACTTGGAAGTGTGGCCTTTTCATGGAACTACAAGAAGACCAGAGAGAGAGTAGGAAATTTGTGAAGGAAGTGGGGTATTTACCTTCTAAGTCATTGGGAAAACCTTGGCCTTCATTCTGAAAGCCATTGGAAGACTTTAAGATGAAGAGTGACATCATATAATTTATAAATACACACCAATGTATGTATTTTTCTTTTCCTTTTTTTCTGACACTGGGGATTGAATCAGTGCCTCATACAGTCTAGGCACATACTGAACCACATCCCCAGACTTTTTTTTCTTTTTTTTTTTTGAGACAGGGTCTCACTAAATTGCCCAGGCTGAACTTAAATCTGTAGCCCTCCTGCCCCAGCCTCCCAAATAGCTGGGATTACTGGTGTGCACTACCACATCCAGCTAATTTATTTTATTTTTTTTTTTTAGGACTTTTCTAGGGCTGGAGTTGTGGCTCAGTGGTGGAGCACTTGCCTGCATGTGTGAGGCATTAGGTTCAATTCTCACCACCACATATAAATAAATAAAATAAAGTCCATCAACAACTAAAAAAAAAGGAATTCTCTAGTTCTGAGCAGTCCAGTATGGTAAGTCAGTAGCCATACATGGATATTTAAACTTAGATTGACTTAATTTAAATTAAATTTAAAATTTGCTTTTTTAGTTTTACTGACCATATTCCAAATACTTGGTAGCCACACATGTTTAGTGGCAACCAAATTGGGCCTTGTAGATATAGAACATTTCTATTCTTACAGAAAGTTCTGTTGGAATGTGCTGCTCTAGTCAGCTAACATTTGTGATCTTTCTTTTGGTATGCAGTTCCTCTAGAATTCCCAGTTTCTTTAAAGGAGCAGTTAATCATTTTGTGTTTTATAAATAAGGCCTAGATAAAGCAGTGACTGATTTCACCTAACTCAGAATTTTCAGGCCTTTAAAGAAAGGAAAATGATAGAACTAAGCCCAAGAGTGATTTTTACTTTTTTTCTTTCTGGTCCTGACTCCAATGTGTATATCTACAACTGTCTTCCTCAGGTTTACTCAGTCAGGTCTATTTCAAGGAACTTGTGCAAAGTGTTAAGCAGCCATTCCAGAACAAAAGGCACCATCTTTTTTTTCCCCCTAATTAATTATACATGACAGTAGAATGCATTTTGACACACTGTACACAAATGCAGCACAATTTCTCCTTTCTCTGGCCGAACAGGGTGCAGAGTCACACCAGTTCTGTAATCATACATGTACCAGGGTAGTAATGTCTTCCACCGTCCTTCCCATCCCCACAACCCCTCCCCTCTGGTCCAGAAGGCACCATCTTTTTTTTTTTTTTTTGGTACTTGTAGATGGACAGCATCAGCATGCCTTTATTTTTATTTTATTTTTGTTTTTGTTTATTTTTAAGGTGCTAGGGATTGAACCCAGTGCCTCACACGTGCAAGGCAAGTGTTCAACCACTGAGCTACAGCCCCAACCCTAGAAGGCACCATCTTAATGATTGTTCTATCATAGACTACTGAAAACTTCCAGTTTTATAAGATTCTATTTTTCTGTTTTGCCAATTTCTTTTCATGGAGATATTTTTATTAAAGTAAACTTTCTAAGCTTTTAGAAAATAAATTACAGTTTTGATTAGAAAATAAATTTCTGGGAAATTAGAATTATTACACATTGCTGGTAGGAATAAAAAAATGGTTTAGCCAATATGAAAAAAAATTTCTAGGAATATATTGTTCTACCATGAAATGTGAACTTCTGAAATTTATTTTGAAACCAATGATAAGGTAATGATTTTGGCTTTGGGACTGGCTATGATACAAAGCCTTATTAGTGTTTCCAGAATAAATAAAATGATGAGTCTATAGATCAAGTTTTTTTTTTTTTTTTTTAACTAAGGGATCTACAAATCTGACCCTGATACTCAGCTTTTTTTTTTTAAAAAAAAAAGAGAGAGAATTTTTTAAATATTTATTTATTTATTTATTTTAGTTTTCGGCAGTCACAACATCTTTGTATGTGGTGCTGAGGATTGAAGCCCGGCCGCACGCATGCCAGGCGAGCGCGCTACCGCTTGAGCCACATCCCCAGCCCTAGATCAAGTATTAACTCTGTTGTGAAATGTGATTCTGCTTTGTTTCCACAGAAAAAGCGGTTACCTATTTTGAAACCCTAGACCAGATTCTGGACAATGAAGATGATGTTCTTATCCACAAATCATCCTGCAAAACATTCTGCCACTATGTAAATGCTATTAATACTGCACCCAGAAACATTGGGAAGGATGGCAAATTCCAGATTTTAGTTTGCCTTGGAACACGGTATAAAACCAGTTTTTTACTTTCCTTATGTTTGTTACATGTTGAACAGGAGTCCAGAAAGGGTTAGACCAGATCATGTTGAGTTTCTATCATTTCAGTTTCTAATTATGAAACTAATTTTCTGGGTATGCTCCTATTATTTCACTACTACCACCACATGAAGTAGCAACTGATCTCCCTATTCTGAAGGTGAGAAAATAGGAAATAAGCACAGATAAGTTAGCACACTTTTCCAAAGTCACACAGCAAGAAAGGAAAGCCAGGATTCACATCCAGTCCTGTGCTACAGCCCAGATTCTCAACTTTTTCTCTGTACTGGCTCCAGAGATAAGTAAATAGATAAGTCATACATGTGTATTTATTCTGTAGACCTTATGTGATACACCACCATATTGCTATGAATATAATAATATTGTGGGATCCTTGTTATATAAATGTCATCTTTTGGGGCAGGAGAGAGGTACCGGGATTGAGCTCAGAGGTACTCAACCACTAAGCCACATTTCCAGCCCTATTTTGTATTTTAGAGACATGGTCTCGCTGAGTTGCTTACCGCCTCGCTGTTGCAGAGGCTGACTTTGAACTCCGAATCCTCCTGCCTCAGCCTCTTGAGCTGTACTACTGTGCCTGGTTCATCTTCTCTTTAAGACTATTCCCTAGCTAGGTGTGGTGGTACATTCCCGTAATCCCAGGGACTCTGGAGGTGGAGGCAAGAGGATTGCAAGTTCAAAGCCTGCCTCAGCAATTTAGCATTAAGCAACTCAGTGAGACCCTTTCTCTAATAAAATACAAAATAGAGCTGGGGATTTGGCTCAGTAATTCAGTGCCCCTGAGTTTAATCCCTGGTACCCCCCCCCCTCAAAAAAAAGGACTATTTCCACCCATTCATTTATTCATTCATCTTTGTGATACTGGGCATTGAACCAACGAGTGCTCTACTACTGACCTACAATCCCTAGCCGGTTTTTATTTTTTATTTTTGAGAAATAAAAATAAGTTACCAAGGTAGTCCTCAAACTTGCTGTCCTAGTCTCAGCCCTCTGAGTTGATGGGCTTACAAATGTCAGTCACCATACCAGCTTCCTACTCCTTTGTTTTATTTTATTGCATTAATGAGAATTAAACTTGACCTTGCATGTGCTAGACACATGTTCTACGACTGAGCTCCACACCCAGCCCTACTGGTAGCTTTGTTTTTTGAAAATGACACATAGCGGGTGGGCATCATGGTGTGTGCCTGTAATCTCAGCAACTCCGGAAGTAGAGGCAGGAGGATCGCAAGTACCTGGCTAGCCTCAGCAATTTAGCAATATCCTTAGCAATTTAGAGAGGCTCTGTCTCAAAATTTTAAAAAATAAATAAAAAGGGCTGAGGATATTTTAAAGTTATTGGTGTAATTTTTGTTTTCTCACAAACATTGAGAGTCCCAATTTGAGATTGAGAATGGCTTGTTATGGTCGCGCATGTCATAGAAAGATATGTTGAGGGTGCTCAGTGAAGATACTCTAACCGATTGCCAGTGTCAGGTGTGATTGGAAACAATGGAAGATATGAGACAGTGTCATAATGAAACAGCAGTTAACATAAGAAAGTTCTATATTTCTTAATAAAACGGGCCCAATTTCAGCTGTCTTTAAAATTTTTCTTGAGTATGATCTTTATCTATTTTTATCTTTGTACTGTTATGATTTATTTGACAATGCAAACCCTCTTTGGGGTTATAAAATCTACTTACGTTTTTTTACTTCAGTTTTGCTTCCCAAGGTAAGTTTGTTGTTGTTATTTTTGTTTTTAAAGAAAATCCCTACTATTTAATATAGTCTGTCTTCCCAAACGGTCAGTATATTCTAGGAGGCTTTTGCCACAGAATAGTACCCTTGTTTAAAAAAAAAAAAAAAAAAAGACATAGGAAATTATTTTGGTACTGGGGATTAAACCCAGGTAGGCTTTATCATTGAAATATATCCCCAGCCCTTTTTTAATTTTGAGACTAAATTGCCCAGGATAGACTTGAATTTACTAATTTCTTGCCTCTGTATCCCATATACCTGGAATTACAGGCATCTGCCAACAGCCCAGCCCCCAACCTCTTTTTAAAAAGGTGGTAAATGGTGTTTGGGAATATAGTTCAGTTGGTAGAATGCTTGCCTTGCATGTACAAGGCCCTGGGTTCAATCTCCAGCACCACAAAAAAAAAAAAAAAAAAAAAAAAAAAAAGTGGTAAAAGCATGCCAGCCTAGGTGGCACACACCTGTAATCCCAATGGTTCTGGATGCCGAGGCAGGAGAATCACAAGTTTGAAACCAGCCTTAGCAACTTGTCAAGACCCTAAGCAACTTAACAATACCCTCTCTCAAAATAAAAATATCAAAAAGGCTGAGAATGTGGCTCAGTGGTAAAGTGTCCCTAAATTTAATCCCTGGTACCCAAAAAAAGATGGAAAAATCAGAGAATTTCTTTAATGTGTGTAGACTTTCTGATGTGCTTTTAGAATCTAGTGGATTTTCCTATTCGCTTTGTACTCTGATTACAACCTTTCTATCAGTGAATCTCCTCCACCTTCTTGGTTTTGGTTTCCTCTCTGTTGACCTCAGAGCTTGGCTAGAGATTGCACTGTTCAGCCCCACCTTCCCAAATGAAAGCACCAATATGTCTATTGTTGTGCAGTGAGGCTCTCTCTTGGTACTAAGAAATCATTTCTGTTTGGGTCTGTAGAGATCACCTGCTGCCTCAGTGGATTCCATTGTTAGCTGAGTGTCCTGCCATCACTCGAATGTATGAGGAGAGTGCACTTCTGCGAGATCGCATGACCGTCAACTCCCTCATCCGAATTCTGCAAACAATTCAGGACTTCACCATAGTATTGGAAGGATCACTCATCAAAGGAGTGGATGTGTAAACCAACTGTCCAGAAATTCTCAGTCCAAACCTCTGAATTCTGAACCTTCTCCCAACTATGGGGACAGACTTAGACTTGTCTGACAGTAGTGAGTCACGCAGGGGGCAACCCAGTGTATGTCCCAATTTGAAGGATCTTTACTCTGCAGACAAGGCAATGCTGTATTGTAGTTCATTTGAACCTGGAATTTAGTATAAAATAGAGTATTTTCATGTGTTAGATGTGTGTAAATATGCTATCTTCTTTAAAAAATTATATTACTCTAATAAGATACTTTTCTTAGATTGAAAATTCCTGTGATTTAAAATAAGTAGTTTAAAAATGATGGGGGTTAGGGGGAAGAGTGGTGCTAGGCAGGAAGAAGCCAGTAAACATGTAAATATGGTGCAACCCTGTTGGGCTTTTTTTTTTTTTTTCTCCTGTAGGTATCACAAAGGAACCCAGAATGCATTGTATGTGGTAGCCATCCATCCTGTGTTGATCCTTTGTATAGTGAATGTATGCCATTTTACCTACTGTGGGATAATCCTCACTTGTATTTTTTAAGTTATAAACCACTTTATGCTTATGCATTTAAATTGAGTCACTTTTCCAGCCTTTTGGAAAAAAAAAAAAATCAGTTGGCACAAGGTAAAGATATAATTCAAGCATTTTCTTTTTCCTGATACTGGGGATTTTGTATCCAGGGGCACATTACCTTTCTGCCATGTCCCCAACCCTTTTTATTTTATTTTATTTTATTTTTTTGAAAGTACTCACTAAATTGCTGAGGCTAGCCTCGAACTTTTATTCCTCCTGCCTCATCCTTCTGAGTCTCTTGGATTATACGCATGCCCCCCACCAACCCCTCCCCAGTTAATTCAAGTATTTTAAATACCAGACACTGGGAGCTTGGCTGAACTGGAAAGAAACACAGGAAGCCCTGAGAAGTGTGTTAAAATTATGGGATTATAACTTCTTTGCACTTTGGAAAGATTAGCCTAGACTAACTTCATTCTTGGCATTTTTATTCTTGTTATTTGAGGTACTTTAGGAAGATATGAATTTCWGAGTTTAGCCTCATAGTTATAAGTACTACAAACAGCAACTTGATTCTGCACTTTAATTTGTCCATCTAAACTCTGCAGTGGTCCTTTACATCTTAAGGATAATCAGCTCTGTCTGTTAGGTTCCAGCCACCCCCTCTGCATGCCCATCCCCCTTCAGGAAATGGAAGGAATGTCTAAGAAGGAGGAGGGCACTGGGTGGCTTGGAATGTTTTTGTGAAAGTATTTGTTGACCATGATAATGCAAATAACAGAACGGGAGAGAAAGAATGAACCCTTTCTGGGTGTTTCAGGGCAAGCTTTCTGTTCCTTTGTAAGAAGGGGCAATAATGTAAAACAACTGGCCCAGAGGAGCACAGATTGACAAAATGGAAATGAAACAAGAAACAAGAGGCAGCAGTTTTGAAAGACCAGACTTGTGAGTAACTTTACAATTTGATTGTTTATAAAGATGTTAAGTAAATGTAGTGTTAGGTAGTTACCTTAAGTCTTCATCTTCTGATAGGTCGCCTAATTCTAATTAGAGAGTGGAAAATTGTTAACAGGAAATTTGCCTCAGCAGACTTCCAGGTTTTATTCCCAACTGTGACTGCAAAGCCAAGCCATGGCTTCTTAGGATCCTTGTGCAACCTAAAGGTCCTGGGCTCTAGCCAACAGTGTTGTTCCCTTATTTCCTGGAGGAAGAAATTAGTGAAACAAGTGCCTCACTCCCTTTATCAAACACTGTATGCAGCTAAGAAACAGGCCCTTTTGTCATGTGACTTTATACTTAAAAAAAGGGGTTGTTGAAGGCTTCACATGAAACCTATGCAAAGGGCTTAAGAAGGTGGTTCTGGGGCTGGGGTTGTGGCTCAGTGATAGAGTGCTCACTTAGCACATGCGACACCCTGGGTTCAATCCTTAGCACCAAATAAAAATAAATAAATTAAATAAAGGTAGCGTGTTCAACTCCAAGTAAAAAAATATTTTTTTTTTTTTTTAAAAAGAAGGTGGTTCTGGTTGACCTGGGTAGAAGAGAGAATGGTTTTCTTTCAACTAAACTGTATCTACAATGGTATAGCTATCCTAGGGATATAGGAATTCTATTATTGAAGACATTCATAGCCTCTTTCACCTATCTTCTACCATAGTGGTCAGAAATTATAGATGGCCCAATCCAGGGTTTCATTCTTGTTTTGGGAGGTGGGTACCAGGGTTGAACTCAGGGGCACTCAACCACTGAGCCACATCCCCAGCTCTATTTTGTATTTTATTTAGAGACAGGGTCTCACTGAGTTGCTTATTGCCTCCCTTTTGCTGAGGCTGGCTTTGAACTTTTGATCCTCCTGCCTCAGCCTCCTGAGCCGCTGGGATTATAGGTGTGCACCACTATGCCAAGCACAGGGTTTCATTCTTGTTACCTTTTCCATAAGACCATGCTTCTGAAATACCAAAATATATACATACATACACGCACATACACAAGTTATGAGTAAAGTTTCATCCCACTTTGTTGTGTAGTATGACTATAACAGTAGAATTACTAAAATTTCAGCTTTTCAGGAAGCTGAGGCAGGGGGATGACAAGTTTGAGTCCAGCCTGGGTGGACTGTACCAAATCCCTGTCTCAAAAAAATAAAAAAATAATAAAGGGCTGGGGATGTAGCTCAGTGGTAGAGTATACCTGGGCTCAATCCCTAGTACCAAAGGAAAAAAAGAAAGAAAACGAGAAGAATAGGGGGAGAACCAATTTCAAAAACCATAAATCCTCTTGGCTAGGCGCAGTAGTCACCTCGGAGCACCTGTGCTTGTCCCTGGGGCATAGCCTTTGCTGTACACACTTGGGCCACTTGTGATCTACTTGAATGGCCCATAGCCCATTCTTTTGAATATTCTCAGAATAAATATTCTCAGAATAAATTAATAATTAGAAACAGCATAAAGTCCCTACAATCCAAGTTTGATGAATAAAAAGAATGATTCTGCTGATGGAGTCGTCTAGTACAATTATAAAGAAATAAAACTCAGGTGGCTTATGACTGTCTCTGAGTTAATCCCAAAATGTTTTGAGCACACCAGTAAGCAGAATCCACTGAATAAATGAGTTGAATTATTTTTTGTTTGTTTGCTTGTTTGTTTTGTAGGAGGGGTTGAACTCAGAGGTACTTGCTTTACCACCAAGCTATATCCCCAGTCCTTTCAGTCCTTTTTATTTTTTATTTTAAGGCAGGATCTCACTAAATTGTTTAGGGCTGAATTAAGTTGTTGAGGCTGGCTTTGAATTTGGGATCCTATTGCCTCAGCCTCCAGAGTTGCTGGGATTATAAGTGTACGCCACTGCAGTCATTCACCCTGACTTTTGGAATGATCATATCCATTTAGAGATATCCTTTCTGCTTTGTTAACTTTTTAAAAAATATTTTTAGTTGTAGATGGACATAATACCTTTATTTTTTTTAGTGCCAGGGATTGAACTCAGGGGCACTCAACCACTGAGCCACATCCCCAGCCCTATTTTGTATTTTATTTAGAGACAGGGTCTCACTGAGTTGCTTGGCACCTCACTTTTTTGCTGGGGCTGACTTTGAACTCAAGATCCTCCTGCCTCAGCCTCCCAAGCCACTGAGGTTACAGGCGTGCGCCACAACTCTGGCTATTTTATACTTATTTTTATGTGGTGATGAGGATCAAATCCAGTGCCTCACCCATACTAGGCAAGTGCTCTATTACTGAGCTACAACCCCAGCCTTGCTATGTTAATTTTAAAATTAGTATATTGCTTTAGAATCATACTATAAAGTAAATAAAAATAAATTTTCTATTTGCTTTTTCCCCCTCCAAATAAAATTAAATGCCTGGGGCCATAATTAAGATTTTCAAATAACAGTGGCTTTGGAAGAAATTATTTAAAACTTAAATTGCTTTGGCTGGCAATGTAGCTCAGTGTTAGAGCACTTGCCCAGCAGGCTTGAGGCCATGAGTTCCATCCCCAATACAGAAATAAAAAATGACTGACACTCAAGTATGAGGTGGTATAAAAGAGCTCTAGGTGGGAAAAGTAGGCTGCTAAGAATGAAAGCCTCCCAACCATTGCCCTCCACATATGTCCCACTGGAAGAGTGAGTTTGGTAGAAGAGACCTAAAGTTTGCAAAGATTTAGCTTTCCCTCTAAAAACTTTTTAAATATTCTTTTTAGTTATAGATTGACACAATACCTTTATTTTATTTATTTATGTGGTTCTGTGGATTGAACCCAGTGCCTATCACACATGCTAGGTAAGTACTCTACCACTGAGCCATAACCACAGCCCCTCCCTCTAAAATTTCTTATAAATGTCCCCAACTTTTTTTTGGTAACTGTTATTTACATTAACATGACTTTTTTCTTTTTATTTTTTTTTCTATTTTTTTTATAATTTTTAAAAATATTTATTTTTAGTTGTAGGTGGACACAGTACCTTTATTTTATTTCTATGTGGTGCTGAGGATCGAACCCAGTGCCTCACACATGCCAGGTGAGCACTCTACTCCTTGAACCACAACCCCAGCCCCTCTTTTTTATAATTTTAATGAAGTTCTGTCACACTGTATAAATGATGTAGGGGAAAAACTGAATTGCTCATACTTCCTTTTTTGGCAACAAAGCCTTGTATGCAGGTGTAAGTGAAAAAGAGAGGTTATGATTATATATGACAACTTATGTGTAGTATATTATTGATACCCTAAGGTGTTTTGAAACATGAGGCAATAATTGAGGACCTCAAATTCCCAGGGAAATATCTGTTAGCTTTGGGAGTGTAGCTCTTCATAATGAAATATCTTCTATTAAGAATTATGTGTGGGCTGGGGATGTGGCTCAAGTGGTAGCTCGCTCGCCTGGCATGCATGCGGCCCGGGTTCGATCCTCAGTACCACATACAAACAAAGGTGTTGTGTCCGCCAGTAACTAAAAAATAAATATTAAAATTCTCTCTCTCTCTCTCTCTCTCTCTCTCTCTCTCTCTCTTTAAAAAAAAAAAAGAATTATGTGTTTTTTTCCAATAGATTTTTAATTTAGGGAACTGTGAGTATTTTCTGTGAGGTTTACAGATATTAGTCTATCCTTTTCACAAATGTTGAGAGGACAGTCTGAACCTTAGCTACTTAACATTTCAGTATTAACACAACTTCATTGATTGAGAATGGGTCTTGAGTTCTCGATTTTTGTGAAGTGAATCCTATTTCCAAGTTGTCTGTGTCCTTTGAATTCCTGTAACAGATGAATTTATTCATTACCATTTAACATAAATCAGAAAGAATGACAAGCTACTGAGTTCCTTATTTCTGTTAAAATGGGATTATAAATCTGTTGAATTAAATGAATACAAGCTTTTTGAAAAGATCATTGTTGCAGTATGATCAAAAGTTCAAAGGAGGGGGCTGGGAATATAGCTCAGTTGGTAGAGTGCTTGTCTCACATGCACAAGGCCCTGGGTTCAATCTCCAGCACCACACACACACACACACACACACAAAAGAGAGACAGTCCAAGGAGAGACTGGGGTGCAACTCAATGGTATAGTGCTGTGCATGCCTAGCATGCACAAGGCCCCACATTCAATCTTACTAATAAAGAAAGAGTTCAAGGAGAACTTTACCCTCCCAAATTTATTAGAGCTAATTACCCCTTAAGGAAGACATAAAAATTGGCTTCAAAAAGGCTTGAAGATATTAATACCAGAGTGAAAAAAGTTCACCAAATAAAATTTTTCCTCTTAGGGTCCAACATACCTTAGGTTATGTAGGAGGGAATCATGCTTGGTCCAGTTACCTGGATGTACTTAGGTGTTAGACCCAGTCTTCATCTAAACACCAACTTTTGTTGACAGTAGAGAAGTATATTAAGGAGATCCTATTGTCAATCAGATGAGGGAGTGGAACAAAAAAAAAATCCCATGTTACACTTGAACCATGTATAAATGTACCCTGTATATTTTTTTTAATTACCATTTCTGTATTTAAATTATATTGTTTCCCTTTGTATTGTTAACAGAGTGTATCAGAACTGGATATTTCTTTATTTCTCATCTGGACATGATATAACACTTAAAAAAGAGTATTGTGATATTAAGCACTTTAACATATCAGGCAAACTGACATGGGTTTTTCAGATTTTGAAGTACATTTAAATATGACTTTTCATGCTTTGTTCTTTACAAATAAAACTGTGGGGTTGATAATTTGTTTTGCTTCATCATTGGAGAATCTTACTAAATGTTTCATAGGGCAAAAGACTTCAAAAATAAAAACAATCACCATTACATAGTTTWAAAAAAAAATCTGCTGGACACTTGTTTATCTAGAATGGGTGAGGGAAAATTGAACTGAAAAATCAAGTCTTGGGGGGAATTATATTAAGCCTTCAACTGATTGCACCCACATTGTGGAGGGTAACCTGCTTTACTTGAACTTTCAAGTCCACCTTTCCTCCCCCTAACCCCCAATGTTAGAGATTGAACCCAGGAGTGCTTTACCAGTAACCTACATCCCTGGCCCTTTTTATTTAAATGAGACAGGTACTCACTTAAGTTGCCTGGGCTGGCTTTGAATTTGCAATCCTCCCAAATTACTGGGATTACACGTGTATACCACTGTGCCTGGCAAATCCACCAATTTAAATGTTTGTGTCATTCAGATAAAACCAACTTTCAGGCCATGATGGTACATGTGTATAATCCCAGCAATTTGGGAGATGAGGCAGGAGGAGAAAGTTTAAGACCAGCCTCTGAAATTTATTTATTTGTTTTTTAATTGATTTTTGTTTTTATTTTATTTTATTAGTTAAACATGACAGTACAAGTCATTTTGAGGTAATTATGCAGTCATGAAATATATCTTATTCTAACTGGGTAGTCTGCAATTTAGCAAAGCCCCCAG